TTAGAAAGCAGGTGAAATTCAATTTTATGCTGATAGTAACAATCCAAAGCCTTTTTATGATGCCCTATTTATGGGCCAAAGACATGGTGCAACTCATCCACTCAGTGGTCATGGAGTTCCATTGATTAGTGATAAGGATATGATCCTGGAGAGATGGGCTGAACACTTCCATAGTGTTCTTAACAGACTGTCATTAATCTGTACTGAAGTCATTGACCTTATATCTTAGATTGAAATCAGTTCCTCTTTAGCCAAACTTCCAACTGAAGAAGAGGTTTTGAATGCCATTTGGTGTCTCTCATGTGGCAAAGCAGCTGGTACCGATTCTATTCCAGCTGAGATTTCCAAGGCAGGGGGTCCACTGCTCATCCAAAAGGTTACTGAAATTTTCTGGGTTACATGGCAAGAGGAGGTTATCCTACAGTAGTTCAAAGATGCCTCCATTGTCTACCTCTATAAAGGAAAAGGAAATTGATTGTCCTGTGACAATCACAGGGGGTGTATCTCTCTTAGTCATTGTTGGCAAGATTCTTGCCCAAGTCCTCCTTAATAGGCTGATCTTTCACTTGGAATATGGTCTTCTACCTGAGAACCAGTGTGGTCATTATGGTGTTTGCTGCTTGACAATTCTAGAAGAAATACCAGGAGCAGAACAAAGGGTAGACAACATCGGTTGATCTAACCAAGGCCTTTGATACTGTCAGTCATGAGGGTTTGTGGAAAATTATGACAAAATTTGTTTGCCCAGAGAAGTATTCATCAGTATCGTACATCAGTTGCATGGCTGCATGGGTTCTAGATAATGGACAATGCTCTTGCCCTTTCCCTGTCACCAGTAGAGTGAAGCAGTGCTGAATGCTTGCTCTCATGCTTTTTTAGCATGATGTTTTCAGCAATGTTGTAGGAAACTTTCAATGAGGACTAAAATGTCATCCAGGTCTGCTACCTTGATGATAAATAATGGTAAATTATTTAACTTAAAAATGCTACAAGCCAAGACTAAAATAAAGGGAGAATTGGTGCATGGTGTTTTCTTTTTGTTTGTTTGTTTGTTTGCAGATGGTTGTGCACTTGATGCAGCCTCTGAGGCTGAGGTGCAGCAAAGTATGCATTGATTTTCTGCTGCTTCTGCTAATTCTGGCCTAACAATTGACACCAATAAAATAGAAGTTTTCCACCAGCCAGGACGCCACCATCCATACATGGAATCATCAGTTACAGCAAAAGGAGCAAATCTGAATGTTGTGGATAAGTTCACTTACCTTGGCAGTATACTTTGCAGGGATGTATACATAGATGATGACGTTGGCATATACATTGCCAGAGCTAGTTCAGCATTAGGGAGGCCCTGAAGGAAAGTGTGGGAGAGAAGAGGTATTAGGCAGCCTACCAAAATGAGAGTCTGCAGAGCTGATGTACTGATCTTATTCTTGTATGCCTGTGAAACCTGGACAATCTACCAGTGCTAGGCCAAGAAACTGAAATGCTTCCATTTGAATTGCCTTAGGAAGAATCTGAAGATCACATGGCAAGATAAGGTATCAGATACTGAAATCCTTTCTTGAACTGAACTGCCAAACATTCAAACTCTGCTGTGGAGAACACAGCTCTATTGGGCTGGTCATGTTATTTGAAAGCCAAATGTATGTTTGTCTAAAAGACTATTTTGAGGAGAACTCACACAAGGCAAGTGCTCACATGAAGGTCAAAAGAAGTGATACAAGGACACTCTCAAGGTCTCTCTGAAGAACTCTGGAATGGATTGTGAGTCATGGGAGAGATTGGCACAGGACTGCCCAGCATGGCATACCAACATCAAAGAAGGTGCTGTACTCTATGATCAAAGCAGAATTGCAGTAGCTTAAAAGAAACATGAAATGCACAAATTTCAAATGTTCACATGAACTATTTGTGCCTGACCTGTGGCAGAACCTTCCAACTTCATATTGGTCTGATCAACCACATTCAAACACACTATACCTTGACCACAACATGGTGATGTCATTTTGGTCCTCTTCAAGAACGAAGGACAATTAACTGCCAACCATGTGCCAGGCAGGCAGCTCAGTGGTACAGTGAATTGAGTGCTGGCTGTGGAGTCAAGAAGACTGATCCTCCTGAGTTCAAATCTAGCTTCAGATACTAGTAGTGTGACCCTGGGCAAGTTACTTTGCCCTGTTTTCCTCAGTTTCCTTGACTGTAAGATAAGCTGGAGAAAGAAATGGCAAACCACTCCAGTGTCTTTGCCAAGAAAACCCCAGATGGGATCAGGAAGAATCAGACATGACTGAAAATGACTCAGCAACAATTAGCATATGCCAGGTACAGTGCTGAGCACTGGGGATGCAAAATAAGAAAGATGACCCCTGCCCTAGAGGATTTTCTAATGGGGGAACACACAGAAGGAAGCTGGAAAGGGGAGGAGGCGACAATGAGAGGTGTCCAGTGTGAGGGCATCTTTTTTCTTGGAGAGGAAGGCAGGAAGATCCGAAGATGGAAAATGGGAGTCAGCAATGAAGTTCAATTTCTGCCCTCTATAAAGGAAGGTTTTGGAAAGAATTTAGTACCAGCCTTCTAGTCAGAGGAGAGAGGAGGCCAAGGGAGGTGGCATCCAAGGCTTGAGTTAAGAGCATGGTGATGAGATTAGAAGTGATGAGTTTATCCTGGGAGGGGCCTCCTTTTTTTTTTTTTTTTTGTTAGGCAATGGGATTAATTTGGTTAGGCAATGTGTGCCTAGGGTCACACAGCTAGTAAGTGTTAGGTGTCTGAGGCCAGATTTGAATTCAGGTCCTTCTGACTCCAAGGCTGGTGTTCTATCCACTGCACCACCTAGCTGCCCCAAGGGGCCTATTGTACCTTGGAGTTGAAACCTGGCAGAGCTGGAGATAAAGAATGGAATGAGTCAATCACATCTCAGCACATCAATCTTTTGCCCCTTATAAATAAATTGTCATTTATTTAACTATCAAATAGAGTTAAGGAAATTTAGGATAAATCAAAAGAAGTACTATTTTATTCAAAGGGGAATAAATATGTAATTATATAAAGATATGATTCCTTAAATTTTTTTTGAGTTATTCTAGACCTGTGATTTTGTCAGTAGAGGCAACTCCAAAGTGGAAACTTTTTTTTCTGATACAAATTGAGTATTTCTCTAGAACTTAGGTGTTAGAGAGGTGCCTGTGATAATGAAAGGCTAAGTGACCTGTCTGTCAAACAGCTTGTGTCAGAGATGAGATTTAAAACTAGGTCTTCCTGACCCTTCCTCTCTCCATTCATACTCACATGCTGCCTCACAAAAGTTGGTGCTGGCCAAAAATGCCTTCATATTTCCTGGGTCTGTCAACTCATAATTGTGGTAAAAATCCCTACCCTTTTGAGTGTAGTTCCCATCATGTCATAAATACCATAAAACATCCCCAGTACTTTCACTACTTGGTGGCTTCCTTCTTAACATTATTATTTATTATCTACTCTGTTTTAATCATATATCTTCCCAAAGAAACTGCTTATATCATATATATACATCATATACATTCTTGTGTAGAATAGCTATATATCAAACATTTTTTGCATGCAGCTAAAAGGTGGTAATGTGCTGCAGCCTTTTTCTGCCTACCACCTCGAATTTCTCTATTCTTCTGCAAACACAAAAAAATTTAAATAAATTTAATAGGTGGTGTCTATATAACTGTTATACTTCTCATTTAATCTTCACTACAATTCTATGAAGTAGGTATACAGTACCACAGGTATCCTATAGCCAGGATCCTAGGCGGTAGCCAGGTGGTACAGTGGATTGACCATCGGGCCTGGAGTAATGAAGATCCTAGTTCAAATCCGATCTTGGACACTTACTAGTTGTGTCACCCAGCACAAGTCACTTAACCCTGTTGGCCTCAGTTTCTGCTATTGTGAAATGAGCTGGAGAAAGAAATAGCAAACTGCTTCAGTATCTTTGCCAAGAAAACCACAAGAAAAGCTCATGAAGAATCGGACACGAATGAACCACAACAATTCAAAGATCCTTATTTTAAAGATGAGTAAATCGAGGCTCAGAGGCTTTGAGTTGACCCACTGGTCTCACAGCTAGTCAGAGGTGGGGTCCAAACTCAACTGATCTCTGTTGACTCCAAGTCCAGCTGTGCTAGATTCACAATAGGTCATCAAGGGGAAACTATCCTATACATACATCCCTAACCCATGGAGGTGAACATTCAGGAGGGTGGAAACTTATTCATTCAACAAAGCTATTAAGCACTTGGTTCCCGGGCCTACGGGTTTGACATTAAGTTTGTGAGTTCTCTGCATCATGAAAACTATCAATTAAATTAAAGTGACTTGTCTCAAAGTTCGCCAGTGGGGTAGGGACTCCATAAGGACTTGTGGAACCAAGAATGAGGTCAGTAGCCGAGCCGGTACTAGAACTGTACAGGGTCAAACTCGGTAGTCGATTAGGCATCTTCTTGTACTACACCAGACGAAGTCGGGGGTGGGGGTGGGGGTCGGGGTCGGAAGCTGCTGTTCCACTAGATCAAACGCCAGTTCTAGTTTTGCTTCTAAGAAAGGAAATTTTACAGTTTTAGAGAATATTTTTATCCTCCCTTTCGGCTTTCCTCTAGCAAAATTACGAGTTTCTATACGACCCGTTTTTGTTGTTTAAAGGAAAATGCGCTGAAAACAACCCTCTTCTTAAGAAAGCAAACCAACAGCAGCTGCTGTTCTCCAACCGGTACTGGCTGAGTGATAAAGGCGAGGGGAGTGAGGCTCGCTTCCTTCTGGTCCAATCAGGTGCACAGGAAGGTGGCCCTTCACCAATAAGAGTAAAGTTCGGCATCCGGAGGCGGGGGTGGATGCGGGTGATTGTCAGCTCACTGGAGCAATGCCAGAGGAGATTTATTTGAGTGATAGCAGCAAGGACCAACCGATGCAAAAGGGAAGTCTAGAGGTAGGTGGACTTCGGAAGGGCGGCTGGACCATCCATTCAGGGGAAACGAATGTTGTTCCTGTTGGAGCGACTTGCACCAATCAAAAAGGTGCAGAGGAGAGGACTGAGCCAGCCTTACCTCCACAGCCAAAAGATCGCCGGGCTTAGTGGGAGAGGAATAGGGGGGAAAACCTGAGTCGGAGGGAGGTTGAACGACTAAACTGGTTTGGATCGGACGGTTGCTTAAAGGGGAAGCGCCATTGTCAGCAGAGCGGCGCCCGGGGCCCGGACGGACTGGCGGCGCCCGGGAGCGAGGGCGCAGCGCTCCTAAGGAGGGGTAGGTGTCGCCGAGCAGAAGGCGCTTCATTTCACTTTCTATTCTTTCTTCTGCTCGGCTCACTCTCTGGGCTGGCGCCGCCGGGTGCGGGAGGCGCGGGGCAGGGATGGATGCCCCGGCCCTGGGTCTGGGTGTCCTGCTGGGGGGTTAGTGTCCCCCCCCCCACCCCCGGCGCCGCTGCTGCTAACGGAAATCGAACCCCGGCGCGGCGCGAGGAGAGCCCCCTCCTCTCCTCTCTTCTGTCTCCTCTCTCCGCGGCCGGGCCTTTCCCTTCCTCCCCTTCCCCGCCCCCCTCCCCGGGGGTCGCGCCGCCGCCTTCTCAGCCTCCAAACCGAGCCGCGGGTGCCCAGGGAACGGTGGAAGGGGCTGGGGCGGCGGCGGCGGGGCCGGGGGTGGGATCGCTTCGGTCTAGGCTGTGGGGGGCGAGGGGAGAGGATTCCGGCCTTTGGTGGTGCCAGGCTGCGGCGGCTGGAGGAGGAGGAGGAGGGAGTGAAGTTGGGTAGCAGCCGTGGTCTCCGCCCGCCCGCCCGCCTCTCTCCTCCTCCTCCTCGGCCCGGCCAGTCTACAAGCATTTATTAAGCGCCCTTGTCTGTACCACGCGCTTCTCTCTGCACCGGGGTACAAAGGAAAGGCACAAGACCATCCCTGCCCTCCTGGGGCTCACCGTCTAAGGGGAGAGAGAGCATTCCGCCGCTGTGGACCGCCAGACCGAGCCAGGCTTAATGGAAGCAATGCCCAGACGCCCATCGGGCTGTGGGTCAGAACTTCATCTCGAGTCGCCCCCCTCCTCCCTTGTCTCCTCCCGTGCCCGCCCTGGACGAGTCTGGCGGCTGCTGCCCTCCTGCCGGCCTCAGCGTCCCGTCGCGAGTGGTCCAGAATTAACGCTGCCGTGGGGTCCCTGAGACATCCGAGGTTTCTCTTGCCAACTTAATTGAGTCTCCGCCTGCCCTTGTTTGTTGGTACCCCGGCTTCCGGGCAGCAGGTTCCCTCGATGCTGTGAGTCTGTCCTGCCCTTGGCTTCAGCAGAATCTAGTTTCTGGGGTGAGAGCTTAATGGGGTCAGCCCTCGGATGTGAAGAGATAGTATCGCTCCTTCCTTGCCACCCTCAGGCTAAAATAACTCTGGGAAGAGGTGAGAAGAGCTCTGCAGAAGGCACAGTGTTTGCCTCATTTCAACACTGAACTGAGAAAAGAATTTCCAGAATTCATTGACTGAGCTCACTCTTTGAAGGATAAAAACTCACTAGAATGGAATAAAAAGGCTTTTCGATTTAAAACAAGTTTTGCTGCAGTAAACAAAGTTGAATTTTTAAAACTACGATAGCCTTCCTTACAGTTTCTACTTGGCAAAATTGTTATTAATGGGTATTAGGGACTATCAGAGTCATTATTGATAAAACAGACTTTTTCTATTGCCGTGTTTCACTTTTATACTTTTTTTTTCTGTTCCTAACTCGTATATGTTTCATTTAGAAATCAATAAGTATTTATTAGCCTTTAGGTATTATACTAGGCTCTGGGATACAAACAAAGAATAAAACAATTCTACAGGCAGGGAACTTATATTCTAATGGAGGGGATAAAAAGTACATATATAATAAATATATACAACACATTTATAAAGTGAATAAATACAAATATATACAAAGTAGCAAAATATGAGATAGTGAGGGTGACAAAATAATGAGGGATAGATGACACTGATAGTTGGAAATCAACATGATGCTTTCCTATGCAACTCATGTTTTTGAACGTTTTAATTTCTTGTGAAGTATTTAGTACTTAAATCATATGTGTAAAATAACACTCTTAAAAGTGTCTGTGGTTGTATTCTTTTAACATTTGCTAGTTACTTTCATGATCAGAAATGGTATTACATTCTGTCTCTTCTATTATGTTATTTTGTATCTTACAGCTTTTGAGGAGCAGGTTTGTTTTTTTTAACCCTACAAATATTGTACCCAACAATTTTCTTTTGTTAAAAATAAGTTTAAGAGCAGGTAGAAAATTATAACACAAGTAGGCAAACCCTCAAGCAGAAAGGTAACTATAGTCAGGAAACTTGAAAGGCAGTCCAAGTTGATACAGTTATTTGAACCATTACTCTTTTGTCTTTCTGGACAATAATCAGTGAAATACAAAGTTCAAGACTGATTTATAATTATGTCATTAAGTATCTTTCATTGTTACACCTAAATACTTTTCTTTTTCAAATTTCAGCTTTTTAATCTCAGTAGAGGCATCATGGCATAGTAGGAAAGAATACTAACTAGATTTGGGGTCATATGAGCTGAGTTCATATTTGGCTTTAAAAATTTTCAGGTCAACGTGACAAAACAGGAAAATGAAAAATGTTGGAGAATATGTGGGAAAATTGGAACACTAATGCATTGTTGGTGGAGCTGTGAAATGATCCAGACATTTTGGAGAGCAATTTGGAACTATGCCCAAAGGGCTATAAAACTGCATACCCTGTGACCCAGCAATAGCACTTCTAGGGCTGTATCCCAAAGAGATCTTACAAATGGGAAAAGAACCCACATGGACAAAAATATTTATAGTAGCTCTTTTTGTAGTGGTCAAGATTTGGAAATTGAGGGGATGCCCATCAGTTGGGGAATGGCTGAACAAGTTGTGGTATCTGAATGTGATGGAATACTGTTATGCTATAAAGAAATGATGAGCAGGCAGACTTCAGAAAAACCTGGAAAGACTTATATGGACTGATATTGAGTGAAGTGAGCAGAACCAGGAGAATGTTGTACAGAGTAAAGCCCACTTTGTGAGATGACTAATATTGATAAACTTAACCCTTCCCAGCAATGCAAGGAACTAAGACATCTCCAAAGGTGTCATGATGGAAAATGCTATCCACATCCAAAGAAGGAACTATAGAGTTAGAATGCAGATCAAAGTATACTATTTGCTATTTTTTTTTCTGTTATGTTTTCTCTTTCTTGTGATTCCTCCTATTGGTTCTAATTCTTCCTTATAACATCACTAATGTGCAAATGTTTAATAGGAATGTATATGTATAGCCTATATCAGATTGCTTGCCGGACTTGGAAAGGGAGGGGGAGAAAAATTTAAAACTCAAAAGCTTATGGAAGTGATTGTGATAAATTAAAATAAATTAAAAAAATAAAATAATTTGGAAGCTAAAAAAATTATTTTGAGTTCCAAATTCTCTCCTTCCCTCTGGCCCCTCCCACACCCATTGAGATGGCAAGAAATAGTATAGCCATTATACTTGTGAAGTCATGTGAAACATTTCCATGTTAGCCATATTGCCAAAAAAAAAAAAAGCAAGAAAAATTAAGGGAAAAAACAACATGCTTCATTCTGCAGTCAGAGTTTATCAGTTCTTTCTCTGGAGGTATAGATAGCATTTTTCATCATGAGTTTTTTGGAATTTTCATGGATCATTGTATTGATCAGAGTAGCTATGTCTTTCACAATTGATTATCATTGCTGTTACTGTGTGCATTATCTTCCTGTTTCTGCTCACTTGACTTTGCATCAGTTCATATAAGCCTGTCCAGGTTTTTCTGAAACCATCTTTTTAATCATTTCTTATAGCACAGTAGTGTTCCATCATAATTATATACCACAACTTGTTCAGCCATTCCTCAATTGATGGGTATCTTCTCAGTTTCCACCACAGAAAGAGCTGTTGTAAATATTTTTGTACATAGGATCTTTTTCCTTTTTCTTTGATCTCTTTGGGGTATAAACCTAGCAGTGGTATTGTTGGGTCAAAGGGTATGAACAGTTTTATAGTCCTTTGGACATAGTTCCAAATTGTTCCCCAGAATAATTGGACTATTTCACAGCTCTACCAATAGTACATTAGTATACTTGTTTTCCTATATCTTCTTCATTATTTGTTGTTTTCCTTTTCTGTCATCTTAGCTAGTCAGACTGGTGTGAGGTGTTACCTCAGCATTGTTTTAATTTGCATTTTTTGTACTGATTTAGAGCATTTTTTTATATGGCTATTGATAGCTTTGATTTCTTCTTCCAAATATTGCCTGTTATATCCTTTGACCATTTCTCAATTGGGAAATAGTTCTTATTTTTATAAATTTCAGTTCTCTATTTATTTAGAAAAATTTGAGACCTTTATCAGAGACATTTGCTGTAAATCTCCCCTCCCGCGATATTTCCTACTTATAACTTTGGCTGCATTGGTTTTGTTTTTGCAAACCCTTTCTAATATAATGTGATCAAAATGAGCATATTTTTTTCACTTATTTTTCTTGCTTTTTTTGTAACATGGCTAACATGGAAATGTTTTACATGATTTCACATGTATAATTAATATCACATTTCTTGTCTTCTCAGTGGGTGGAGTAGGAATGATAATGTAGGGAGGGAGAGAATTTGAAACTCAAAATTTTTAGAAAATGTTAGAAATAAATATAAGTTTATTTAAAAAATAATGTCATCAAAATTATCCATTTTGCCTTCTGTGAACCTCTCTCTTGTTTATTCATGAACTCTTCTCCTGTCCATAGATCTGACAGGTAATTTTTTTTCTGTAATCCCCTGATTTGCTTATGATATCACTTTTTTTGTCTGTCATGTACCCATTTTGAGCTTATCTTGATATGTGGTATGAAATAGTTGTTTGCCTACTTTCTGCCAGACTGCTTTCCAATTTTCCCAACAGTTTATGTCAAATAGTGAGTTCTTGCCTCAATAGCTGAATCTTTGGGTTTATCAAACACTAGTTTATGTACCAATTTGCTTCTGTACATTGTGTATCTAATTTATTTCATTGATCAACCACTCTTATCCAGTTCCACATTATTTTTATAATTACTGCTTTGTAGTATAGTTTTAGATCGGTTTTTGCTGTTCCCCTTCATATTTTTTTTATTGTATTTCTTGACATTGTTGGCCTTTTCTTCCTCCAGACAAATTGTTATTATTTTTGGCTCTAAAAGTCAAATCTACTTTCTACCATTGTCACTTTTTACAAATCGCTTAACCTCTGAG